CAAACTGCCATCCAGACATATGGGCATAACAAGGAAATCGTGGTAATTTATGATCGACCAGAGCAATGAATTCCGTGGGGCATTGCCAAAGTCAACCGAGGCTCTTCGAGCCGGACTTCCATATGCCAGAATTGGGGTCTTCCACATCCATCCTAGTATTACTGAGCAGCCAAGGACGATTTTCAGAATGGAATCATGCTCACTTGTGACGCCGTATCAATGCGATGCTCTCACTGGCGATGCCAACAAATCTGCCAACACATGCAGCAGATTATATATGCCAACACACGCAGCAGATTATACAATCCCGCATACGGATGGATGAACTACATCATGCAGAAGTACCAAGACACATGGAACGGCACAATGGGAATGCCCATTGAAGACAGATTGGATTATGCCATGGCTACATCTTGCACAATGAAGGCCATTGTCGTCACCACCTATACATGAAGACTGGCGCAGGCAGGGATCGAACCTTTCCGGATTGCATGATGACCTTTGTATTTGGATGGAGAAAGACAGACATCCAACGCCGATTCCGAAGTTCAGAGATGGATTCAATGACAAATGGGGAAAAGAAGGAAATGCAGGACAAGACCTCGCTAATTATCCCAGATTAGCAGGTCACCTCCGCAGAGCGCTTCCAACACATCACCAATGAGATGTTTATGAATGATTCATGTGATTCCGATTTACACAGCCCGCTCATGGTCTATATCAGAAGCCGATCCGAGGTCAGCAACCATCCGTGGAAGCGCTGAGACGTTTTCAGAAGCTTGAATGAGAGAACGCCCGAGAACGACACCACTTGATCCTCACCGCCAACAAGACTATTCAGTGAGAGACCAATAGTTTCACACCGATCCTGCATGTACATAGCATTGCGCATCATTTTTTCATACAGTTAGGTGTCCGCAATGAGTACAGAGGTTTTTCCATTTGCCAACCAAGACATTTCATCCGCGCCAAAAAGGGATGAACGTAGTATTTCAATTCTGACAAGATATATAGGTCCGCATACGGCTACGGTTGAAGGCCAAAACCAAGTTCATAGCATTTCAGTGCTGGAGATGAAAAGAAATTTGTGTCTGTTTTGTGTTTGTTTTGAAGACTCGTTGATCTCCATGCAACATCTATTTTGGCTCAAGGCCTTTCATTGTCACACACCTCATTTACATAGCTCACCGAGCCATTGCATCCGTGATATAATGGTGCTACAGCGGACCACTTTCAGAGTAATTCACAAAACACACAGTTTACCAGGGCTTATCCAGCATCAATCCATCAGTATTGACAATTGGACTCAGCGGAATAGATCCAGGGACCTAACCAACATCCTCTACTAAGTATCGGTTCCCTTCAGGGATAAGACACCCCCGGCAGTGGGACCCCCCCCTTCCCCGTCTTGTGCGTGGCGACAAAGCAGCCTACAAAAGTTTGCACACTCGATTTTGGCCGCCGGTAGTCACGTTGGCCTTTGTGGCCATCTAGGATGCCCCGCAGCGCTTCCTACCAGCCGCCGGTGAATCCCACGTTGCTTGCGGCGCGCCAGCCCTCGGTGCCCCGAGGCAAAGGGGGAAGCGGATGACTGGGTTTCCGAAGAACCCGTCAATTTGTGTTTGCACACATGGATTTACAGATTCAGAGTCAGGTGCCTCAGTTCAAGTTTATTTTCCACTTTTTTTTTGGCCTTCAAGGAGTGAGACTGGCAGGGTTGCTGAAAAGCCGTGGCTGTTTCCGATTTTTTTCCAGCAGACCAAAAGGAACCCAAGAAGATCTGGCAGAAAGGTGGGAGAAGATCTTGGGGGGGGGAAAGATCTTAGGGGGGAAAGGGGGGAAAAGATCTTAGGGAGGGGAAAAGATCTTAGGGGGGAAAGGGGGAAAGATATTGGGGGTGGGGAAGGGGTGAGCAGATCTTAGGGATGGAAAGGGGGACAGATCTTAGGGGGGAAAGGTTGGAAAAGATCTTAGCGGGGAAAGGTGAGCCATTAAGATGTTCAGACTTTAAGCTATTAGTGAGATTTTTAGATTTTAAGCCCTTAAGCTTTCATTTCCCTTCACTCATTTGCAGTCAGTTCCCTTCAGTTCCCTTCATTTCCCTTCACTTTCCTTCCTGTCCCTGTATTCCTTTATTTCCCTATAATTATGTCCTTCTATTTTCCTTCATTTCACTTGTCCCCTTTTTGTCCACACAATTTCCTTTCACAAGCGTGGGCAACATCCCCAGCATCACCTGCATCACCCGTAGTGCTGTTTGCCAAGGAATGCTATGCTAAGGAGCCCCCATGTTTTAAGTCCCGCACAGCCCCCATATGAAAGAATTAGATCTACGAATCACTGCGTGGTACGTGGCCCCCAATAGCCCAACCATGTAAAGAGGCAAGGAGCTGGGAGACCACCTGCTTGCCTCCAAACCACCGAGCCCCAAACCACCAAACAAGGGGCAACTGACATGTTGAGGTGTCCCTTTTCGGAGCTCATTTTGGTTTGTCTTAGAATCCACCCAAGTCCGGGGCCATAAGGTGAGTTACAGTACAAGTTTCCTCTCGTGCGCGGCCAGCTTCGAGCCGCCTTCAGGGTACCTGCAAGCGGCTCTGCGCCCGGAAGTGGCGCAGCAGTCGCTGGAACAGGCGGGGAGTGGGGGACATGTCCAGGGTTCCACATGGGTGTGTCAGATCTTGGAGGCTACCCTTGTTCGTGGCTTTGAACGGAATGCCAGTTTGGAGGTTACCTTTCGGTTGCTCTTTTGAAACCCCACAAGGGGTCCACAATTTTGCGACCCCCGCGTGTTGCATCTAGAGTCCCAAATATTTTGACTGCGATTGTGAGGTACTTTAGAATCAAGTCAGGTCAAGATTGCAGGAAAATAGGTTATGTGATTAATCCGCCTCGTATATGTTTCCTCAAAGAAAGAGCGGGGCCTGGGTCCAAATTGTGCGAGGAGAATGACCAAAGAGCAAAGGGTATGTGCCAAAGTGGAGGGACCCAATGAAATGGTGGTTTTCTTTTGTTTCCCTTCAAACCAACCTGAAAAGGGCACCCTGACAAAAAGTCACGCACTTTTTTTCTTTTTCTCCCGGTTGGCGAACAAAGCACAAGGGGTGCGTTTTTGTTTTGCTGTGACAATCGAAGGCGTTGTTTTTTCCTGTAAGAAACCTCTGTCCACGGACTCCGAGCTTGCTGCCAGCTCAAACCGACGGTGTTTGTAGACTACCTGCTGACGGGGCAATGTTCCCATTCGGTATCCAATATGTTTTGCAGATGTTCTACCCAAGTTAGAAGCCAAGAGGTGGCGACTGAAGAATATGGTCTTCTGGTGTGGTGGCAGAGCTGTGGATTAGACATAGCTCTAAGCCGATGCCGTGGATGGACAGAAAGTGGTTCAAAGAGGGGACGGTTTAATTCAGGTGGGAGAGCACATTCCTCAGGAGGAGCGCAGGGTGGGCCGGGCGTTTTGACCCAGGCCGCCTGCTATAGGGTAACACCTAACACCTTACGCTTTTTCCAAACTAAGTCATGATCATAGGACAATGTTTCAAATTCTGTAGCCTGTTATGGGTGTGGGCTTCGCCCGAAATGGCTTGTAAGCTCAGTTCTTTGAACTGGTTTGAATTGAGAGTCGCGGCACAGAAGCATACTTGGCATAGTGAGTTGTCAGGCTGGATAGCGCTATCACTTTCCCGTCAATCTAAGTCTACCCACGGTTATGCGATTATAGGGACATCCATCCTCCATCCCTGTCTAATTTACAACATGAGTCTACTCCGGCAAACATCAACGAACACAACATACTCGCCTGAAACACAACATATATATATATATATATGTATTCAGTTTATGGGTATTATCACGGCATGATTTTATCAAAATAGGACAACCACCGGCAACCCCCCCCTCCAAATGTCTGGTTTTCCTGTTGGCTTCCCTTCAAACCCACCCCAGAAAAGGAGTGCGCCCAGAGAAGCGACGGGCTGGGACCGATGCGGAGCGAAGGCCCTCGAGGCCCAAAAGCCGGCCGGAGGATCCTCAGGACTCGGACGCGCGCGTCGGGGACCCGGGGACCCGGGGACGGACACCCCAGTGGTTTGGGTCGAACGCGGGGACACGCTTTGGTTTCCGAGTTTCGGGTCTTGGTTTGGTCCAAAGGCTGGGACACCCAACAAATCCCCACCACTCGGTTGTGGGCAAACCGCAGGGTTTAGTCTTGGTTTCCATGTACCAAGGGGCCATATTGGGTCCATGCAGAGCTTTGGTTTCTGAGTGGTTTTGGGTTTTAGGGCGGTTTTAGCGGTTTAGCGGTTTGGCGGTTTAGCGGTTTGGCGGTTTGGCGGGTAGCGGCGTTTTAGCAGTTTGGCTTTTTGGGCGGTTGGTTTTAGTGGTTTAGTTTTAGCTTTAGTGCATTAGTGGTTTAGTGGTTGACTGGTTGACTGGGTTGCTGAAACGTTTAGCGGGACACCTGTTGCAACATGAGGTTTGTGGAGGGCTTTGAAGGGTGATTTCACCTCATCAGAAAGAGTCCTCCAGTGGAGGGGTCTGATCTCCATAGAAGACGTGACTTTTCTCCAATTGCTGGGGCTCTCTCCTGCGCCATCGAAAGGAGAGGTGAACACCTGCGAGCTCGAGAAGGCGGGGCGACTGCGACTCAGGCAGAAGTTTGGTGGAAATGGCAAGATGGCGGGGTGTCCTGTACCAAATGGTTGCACCCCCTCCCCCTGCTTGAAAGGGTGTTGACAGCCACACCGGACGGAAACCTCTCTGGGATGGTACCGGATGGCGTGGAGGTTGGGCGACAGGGCCGTTTTGGGCTCGCAGTGCGGTGTGCAGGTGAAAGACTTTCTGGCACTCCAATGTCAGCAGTCAGCTATGTCTCCCTCACGAGCACCAAGTGATCTAATTCCATCTAATTCCCCATCCCAAGAAGTAAGCCACATTTCCATCCCAAGAAGTAGGCCACATTTCCATCCCAAGAAAAGAAGTAGGCCACATGTTTGGAAAAAGTCGCTTCCCCTCCCGAAGGTTTCTCCCGACGCCCCTGGACGCCATCCTGCCATGGCCCTGGCGGCTGCGAAGTCCTCGGGGATCCGGAACGACGTGCTGCTGCCGGACGCGGTGCGGGACTATGTGGCGGAGCATAAGCTCGAGACACGGCCGAAGCTTCGAAGCCGAAAGTTCGAACGGAGCCGGGGTTGGTCTAGGGGAAACCCCTTTTGTTTTTTTGGTTGTTACTTGTTTCCCGAAAAAAACAACAACCCACAAATTGGCAGTAAGACATAGAAAAGATGGTTGTCATGAGCAACACATGGGATTCCGAGGGTACCAGTTTCCACTTGGTTTAAAGGGAAGGCCAAAGGGAACCAGCCGTGCTGTGTTTTTGAAGAATTGGAACCAGTTCAGTTCCAGATTCTGAGGGTCGCCACGTGGTACGCAACCCGATTTGCTCTTGGCTGCCTTGGGGTAGAAAGCTACGGGTGTCATTTAGACGCACAAACAGATTTGCCAATGTCTATACTAAACATGTAAATGTGGTACCCTTTTTGCTCATTGAAGTCCACAGGAGGTCTGGGAGTGAGCAATCCTCCCAGAAAACGTGGCACTTGAAACTAGAGTTGGCTAAGCGCCGGTGCAAATGAAGAGGGATCTTTCGAACACAGACCACGAAAGCCGCTGTAGCGGGAGTTCAAAGAAAGCTGTAGCTTCTTGGGCTGAGCTTCCCATGGCTAAGCTTTCTGCAGAACTCAGAACACAGACCCTATTTATTTTGCAGAGGTGTTTTTTTTTGGGAGATCGTTTTTGGGTTCCAAGGAGAGCAAACGCGTCTCAGCCAATCCAAACCAAGAGGGAAGCTAACCAACATCCAGCAACCTCAAAGATGCAAGATGCCGGGTTTTCCTGTAGTTTCCCTTCAAAACCGCCCGAAAATGTTTTTTTCACTCCAAAAACCGACGCCCCGACGGTTCGAGACATTTTTCAGAGGAGAAGGTGGTGACCTCGGCGCTGAACCTGGTGATTGCGCAGATGCCGGAGGCTTCGGAACTTGTCTCGAAGTGGGGAGGGGGGGGCAACCAACTGACCCAGCCGCGGCTGGGTTCGGTGGTTTCTTGTTTGGTTTTATCTCCACAAGTTTTACCGGTTTCCCTTGTCTTTGCTTTAAAACAAAGAGCAAGGAAGCGTTTTCCCCGCTCACCGTTGGTGTGGCTGATCACTCATCGACTTCTGGGAGCGCCGAGCCTGTTTTGCTGCGATTTTCCAGCAGCGCGTCCGACAAATTCAGCTCACTTTCCTTTGGTGCATTTTGCTTGGAAATTAGGACTTTAACCTTTTACCAACTAATGGGTTTTCCTTTAAACCACCAAATGTTAAACTTTTAGCAGGGGAGCAGAAAGTAACCGAGTTTCGTGCACAGTGCTTCCAGATTTCGTTGCCCAACTTGCGATAGAAATCGTTCGGTCCATGCACTGTTCGACACGAAATCTCTTGCGACTGTTGCCTGCGTTGGGGACGAACATCAGCATGAGCAGATTTACTTGCATTTACACGCCCCCTTCACGCACGCCCCCTTCACGCGCGGTGGGGGGGGCGTCATGTTTCACAGCTGCGATCTCCTTTGAACTATATATACACATATTTTAACGCCTCCGGCTCAGACCGCCGACATTACAAACCTGTTTCCCCCTAAGAGCTATTCCCCTTTTCCCCCGTGGGATCTTCCCCCCTTTTCTCCCCCAAGATCTTTTCCCCCCCTTTCCCCCCCGAAGATCTTTTCCCCTCTTTTCCTTTAAGATTTTTGACCCTTTGTGTCCTTTTTTCATGGGGGGAGAGCGGGGGAACAGATCTTGGGGGGAAGGGGGGAAAGATCTTTGGGGGGGGGACAGGGAGGTGGAAAAGATCTTAGGAGGGGAAAGGGGGGAAAAGGTCTTCGTAAGAAAAAAGGGAGGAGAAGATCTGGGAGGGGAAGGGGGGAGAAGATCGTGGGGGGAGGGGGATGGGGGGGATGGGGGGAAGGGGGGGAAGGGGGGGGGAAGGGGGGGGGGGAAGGGGGGGGGGGAGATCTTAAAAAGGAAGGGGGGAAAAGATCTTAGAGAGGGAGTGGGGGAAAAGATCTTAGGGTGGAAGTGGTGGAAAAGATCTTAGGGAGGGAAAGGGGGAAAAGATCTTAGGGAGGGAAAGGGGGGGGAAATCTTAGCGGGAAAAGGGGGGAAAGATCTTAGCGGGGGAAAGGTAAGCCATCAAGATGTTCAGACTTTAAGCTATTAGGATCTCAACACGTTCAGCCACACAGATTTTCAGATTTTAAGCCCTTCAGCATTCATTTCCCTTCATGTCCCTTCACTCATTCTTCACTTTCCTTCACTTCCCTTCCTGTCCCTTATTTCCGTTCATTTCCCTTCAATTGTGTCCTTCTATTTTCCTTCATTTCACTTCATGTCCCTTATGCAGTTTGGGCAACATCCCCAGCATCGCCTGCATCATCCGCATCAATGTTTGCCAAGGGTGTGGATGATGCAGGTGGTGCTGGCGATGTTTCTTTGAAACCCAGGCTTGCAAGGGGAGGGTAACAGGTAAAGGGGTAAGAGCATTTCTTATGTCCAACACGCTGTGTGTTGTTGGCGGATATATGCCTATATACATACACAATTTTTGGGTTCACGAAATATGGACTAACCAGAAACGCTGAGGTAAATTCTTGGAATGCATTTTTGCTTGGGTGGTGGTTGAGGTAGCCATGCGGGATAGCAAAGGGGATGCGCCTGAAACTGAAGTCCGATTTCAATAGACCTCAGAAAGAACCGTGAACGTTGCCGTTGTCTTGAGGGAACCAGGTGATGTTTTTGATTCTCCAGGGCTCCCAAATATGTTCCATCCAGTGGCCTCCCAGTTCCTTCCCCGCTTTGAACCTGAAACGTGTCTTTTCTTGCTCCATGACACGTGCAGTTGTCTGAACAGGCGCATGGCCACGATTTCAGGCTTTGGATTTGGGAAGATGTCGTGCAATCCTTCTGTGTGGATATTTTAGCCATGTTTCCCAGGTGACGCTTTTGTATATGGGCATGGGTCAAGATGAAACCATGGGAACGCACGCTTTTGTCCTTGTTTCCATTTACCAGGGTTCCATGTTGGGTCCATGTTTTTGCCCATAAAGCCATAACACGCCGGGGGGCAAGTGCCACGGCCTACTTCAATGCCCCCAGAAACTCGAGTGAGCCGCTCACCCGCGCAGGACCCCTACGCGCGCCTGGCGGAGGCTGGGAACTGGGAACCGAGACTTGCCACAGAGTGGTGGGGAAATTCTCTCGAAGGGGGGTGTTCTTTCTCGGCGAAGATGGGCGTTTCGTTCCAGGGGCGTTTCGTGTAGCAGTGCTTGTGCTGGTGGGCAAGGTGGTGAAAATGGTGCTCGATGGCGTCCTTCCCGTCGGTTTTCTTCCGGGAATACCCGCTTGGCAGTTTCTCAAAGGCGTCCCCTGGTATGGAGGGAAACGGGACACCAAAGTCGCCAGTGGGTCAGGTACCCTGCAAAAAGTGGTTTGGGTTGGACCTCCAAACCGCCGGGCTCCAAATCTTGACTGCTGGGCTGGACCTTTTGGGGAAATCCTATTGGCGTTTTCCACTAAGGCCCCCAAACAGAACTTTTTTGCAGGGGGGTCGTTGCAGCAACCAAGAAATCACCACTTCGATGGAAGCTGATTGGAGGTTGTTTTGCTAGAAAAATAGATTGCGATTCCTGGTTTACCTGGCGGTTTGATCATCTATCAGGGAAACCCATCTATTTCCCCTAAAAGGACACCTGTGAGTGGCGACGAATTTGCAGGAGCTCTCGAAGAGCAGCACCGCTGCCCCCCGCTTCGTCACGCTGCGCCCGGACGCTGCCGCGCCCAGGCGCGCGCTCGAGCGAGTTTCGCGCGCGCGAAAGAGCGCGCGCGTGGCTCGCAAAACGGGGAGAGATGGGTGGACCGGCAGTCTAAAACGACGGGGGGGCACGAGCCTCTTGCGCTGCTGTTTGTTTTGATTGATATGTTGATTGTGGCTTGTTTGTGAATTGTTTACAGTATGTTTCTGGTTTAGTTGTGGTGTTGTATGGTTTGTATATGTTATTTGATTGTTGATTGCTTGCTTAAATGGTTTTTGTGATGGTTTGCGCACGGGATGAACTTCTCTCGAACTTACCCACTCGTTACGAGTCTGGGTCTTTTGTTTGTTCAGCCGCAAAAAGCTGGTTGCCGGCGCTCGTGTTTGTTTCCTTCAAGAACCGCCCCTAGAGCGTCCCCAGCTTTGACACGGCCGTTTGGGTGTTTCTCTCAAAATTCGGGTCAAACTACCAACCCTGGTTGAAAACCGAGAAACGGCCACACCCTGCTGTCCACGTGGTGAGTTGAGAATGGTGGCTCACGTTTGCTCTGTTTGGTTTCTGGATGTTGCACTTTCTGGCAGTCATTGTGGAGAGAGGTGGAGTTTGGGGCTATACGTTCGGGGAGCGAAATGGTGGGTGTGGGTTGCCAGCGAGGAGCCTTTTGCGCTTCCATGTGGTTGTCGCCAGCCGCGGCGTCAACATCCGCAACGTGGCCAGAAGTTTGGGCGGGAAGTGGACCCCCAGGACTAAGTGATGAATAGAGTGTCCTACTCCGATGGACTTTTGCTCTTAACAGAAAGCACCCTCCCCTTTTAAGCAGCGGATTGATTATTCAACAAGCCATGGTTGAACTGGATGGAGGTGCCCCAATTTGTCAACGGGGGCGCACCCTCAAATAGCACGCCATGGTCAAAAGACGTAGTAGCGTGAGGGATTGCTCAGACTACCATTGCAAAATCTTTTTTTTGTTTTCGAGGGTACCATTTGCTGGGGTTCATGGACGGAAAGTCAAAGGACTGCACTCATTTTGGGGGTACCCTAGTTTTGAGACAATCCCAGTGAGTTTCCAAGTGCGTTCCGGTCAGGTGGTCCACTGAGTTACAGCACATTGCATGTGCTTCTTTCAAATGATGTTGCTAGGCAGCCGTTCCC